TTATAATGTATAGATTTATAACTATCCGTCTGGAAATGTTCTTTGTTCTGGTTCACAAGTCTGCATTTGCAAATTTTGTGTGTGACAGTTTTGTGTTTTAAATTAGTTCATATATTATATTATTATACTTACATCTCAATTGCTAGTGGACTGGCACAATGATACCTACTATTTGTTGATTCTCAGCCTGCTGCCTCATTAAACGTCTATCACATCCAGTCGCCATGTTTAAATAGCTTTTCTATAAACCCCATAAAAAACTAAAAACATAAAAAACATTTTGAATGCCCGAAAGCTGTATTGTATGCACAAATGATCGTGGGGTCATTTTGACCCCAGATGCGGTGCGATAAAGCTGACAGTAGCAGGCGGTAATTTTTATTTTATGGCTGCACCTGCCTGTTTATGTTCCCTAGACGAAATGGCGTTATAATATATTTAAATGAATTCCCAAAAAATGACGGTTCGGGTGCGGCGGCGTAACAGCGGGTAATGTTGTTTCTAGCTGAATGAATCTAAAATAAATATCGAAGTCGAATACGAAGGTATAAAGAAAAAAATGCATTGCTCAATTCAAAAGAATCTACGGAAGGCTTTAGGCTATTTAACATCATCATACAGCGAATAGGGGCGGAGCAGTAAAGGAAAATGTTGCAAAAACGGGAAATTTTATTCAAATTTTTATATGCGTGTCGCGGAAACAGCTAGTATAATTATGCTCGTGCTTTGTCCTCGAGATTAGAAATAAGAACTATGTAGTATCACGTACGGTGATGCCAGTTTACGCACTGTTAGTTGAGGATATTTTTTTTTTTTTTTTTTTGTGGGTATCTCAGTTTACATCCCATTTGACATTGGTATCCGTCGTCAGTCACGATTCAGTGCTCTGCCAGTTCGCACTTCTTCTACTTAAATACGTACCCAGTGTTAAAAATAGTGTTTTTGTGTCGTCAAAATGCCGAACGAAAAACGTCAAATGAGGATAAGGAACATTTGATGAAGAAAATAAATAAATTGGAGCAGAAGATATTGGGTGCTGAACGTCGTTCAAGCGGTTCAACAGAAGATCATCGTTACACATTACCATAATGCGAACAACCATCCCGGGTTGTCTCTTTATGCCAGTTGTGTTTTTTTCTAATCTCTTCGGACAAAGCCCTCGCATAATTATGATAGAACTTCACTTTTTAAGTTCGTTTAATCATTAATTATATTTGTTGATTATACGGTCAATATGGAAATCATTAGGGTAAGCCTATGTTAAAAAGTTTGAAAATTAAAAACCCTTTACTGAGTAAGTAGGTATCGTATTATAGGACGTAGCTTATCTTATACGTGCGTGAGGTTCTAATAATTGTTATTTTTAAAACGTTACCGAAAAAAACTACACCAAATCATTTTTACGTATTCGTGCATGCCGACAACTTTGAGTTAAAAGAATTTGGCATATCCGAAAAAACCGTAACGGCATTAGCTTAACCCTTTGCTCATCCGCTCTCACTCGGTCCCAACCTCAAACCTACAACTCCCGTGACGTGTGAAGCGTTAACCAATCATAAACTACCCGCACCTGCCACAGACGGACAAAAAGACCACATTTACATGTATTACCTTTGTTGCTCACCGTAATTTCGTTGCGGGTTCTTCACGCCTGCCAGTCTGGTTGTCTTTGGAATAGTTCAGGGATACCAGCCAGGTATCTGCAAAGGATAATATTTGAAGCTGTACCTATAGGGATAACTGCTGGAGTATCTACAAATGGGAACCTTAATAATAATATGGAGATACTTTACTCACCTAATTTTTTTTAAAGATTGATGGGAGGATAAAGACTTTTTGTACGGAACATTCTTATGTGTGTGCAATAAAGTCTTTAAAAAAATAAATAAATAAAGAATCATTTAAATGAATTGGTAGGTCTGTCACAATTTTACACATAAACTCATAAGAGATACTACTTGAAATAACTAATGGTCATAGTCCTTCTTACGCTTTGTGCTGTATTTAGAGGGTGAAATGCAAAACACTGTGTTTATGAGATAACTTGAAATTAACAGGTCAACAAACTATCATTTTACTTATAACTATTTGCGTGCAATATAATATGTTGGTTTCTTTTTTTATTCTACTACATTTATGACATCATTATTTTAAGAGGGTGAGTTATTAATTAATCATGTGCTAATACAAGATGCAACATTTTCTTTATAATCTGCCTTTTGATCAGTGTACCTACTTTGTAACCTAAACACATAGATGTGTGAGAGCTGTCTGTTCTGTTTGCATCATGTTTAGGCTTGAAACATTCTTAAGATGGTTCGCCATTGTCTGCTTAAGTTTTGTGATATGTTATGGTAGTTACCATCTTTTGTCGCAAGTCTTGGCTATTGCTATTGTGTAATCTTTCGTTTCTGAATCTAAATGAATGTTTATTCTCTAGTAATGGAATGTTGCTGGAGAGGCAATAATTGATGAGAACGTGTTTTAGAAGACTATGTCTTACGTCCGTATTCACAAATATTACTGTAAGGTCTCACAGTGCGCGTGGACGCACAGGGTGACACATGAACCAATCACAGAGCTCTATTCAACGCTGTGCGTTCGATTTGCTGCTTTACTTTAGCAAGCATCGTTTGTGAAGACGGGTGTTAGACGCTTTGTCTGGATTTTATTTTCAGTCTAATACATGGATTTGAACTAAAATTACTTTGGGGTCTATGTGCCATTAACGTGTAGGTAAGTATTGGTCTTGGGTATCTGGATGTAGGACATAAAAGTAACCTTTAAATTATATCTAGTATGTGAAATACTAATAAGGAATATGGGGATGTCAGTGAGGACGGGTAGAGGTTTGTAAAATAGATAATTAGGTTCTTCATCACGGAAAACCTACTGATCAGATTTTGATGGAACTTTACTACCTACATTATAGTTTTACATAAGACTAGCGAATAGGCGATAGAAGCCGATAGTGGAGTAGGTATTTTAGACAGGATTTTAAGGAACCTGGGGAAATAAACCCACAAATGCACAGTTAAACATAATTTATTTCATATTATTTTAAGTATCACAGATCCATTTATTTTAATAGTCATCACGTTAACAAAAATATATATAGTCTACGGTGGCGTTGTATATATATATTCACAAAATCATGGTTACGATCGCTACTTGTTGCGGGTTACAAGTATTTACATACTAGTACATTATATACAGAGTTCGAAGTTTTAAGCGATTTCATGAAAATAACTGTGTGTCTAAAAGTGAAATAACTAGGCCGTTAGACAGTCAAAAGCTGGAATAATGTATATAAATTGCATTTTAAGAATTTTATTTAGAAACAAATGCTTTCAAACTGTTCTTCCAAAGGTACAAATTTAGATAATCCTTCATGTGAATAGACAGTATGGTCTTGATAAATACATAAATAAATAGGCTTAATTCTACCACCAATGACTAATACCTAGGCCTTTTTATTTATGTACTTTATGTAGGACCAACCTGTATAACTATAGAAAAGTTGACTTTTAGCAAAATTTCAGCTGGCACTGAAGATCGCCATTTCCTTCGTTTATATACCAATGATCCCACTATATACCAATTCTAACTACTTATTAAAAACCATCCAAAAATCAAAATAGATGATAAACGTTATGAAACAAGACCAAATAATAATAACCAGGATACATTTTGAATGATTAATCAAACAACAAAATTTTGGAGTCGCATTTCGAAAGCAATCGAAATTAGTGTCCGACCGAATATGGATTTTCAGCCGAAAACGGAAACGAAAACGAAGCTTCGGCTGCAGTCTCATTTTCGGCCGAAAACGAAAACGAAAACGAAAATGACCTTCAACTCTCAAATTTCAATCTGAAATTATGTAAAAACTTTGAAAACCGTTAATGTTTTGACCAAAAACATAATGACGTTTGACAGTTGATTTTGATAAGGATTGATTAAAGAAAACCGGCATTAAAACACAAAAAAATTAATCATGAATTCTTAGTATAATATTATATCCGGTGTATATTTAAATATTGGGAAGTGAAGAAGAAATAAAGGGTGTCCAGTGGGAAATTTTCAACTTCAAAAATGAATACAAATAAATTAATGTTTTTTTTAAATTATCTATTACAAATGCAAAACTGGAGTTGAACAATGCGAATTTAATTTTTTATAGGCAATGTCTTAGATGATACCCGTTTTACTATAGGCACTCTCATAGCCGGACCCTTACATTCACAACTATGCGAGAGCAAATCGCGCTAATAATTTTCCTGCAACTTCACGGCGGATATTTTCTTACAGAACCTGAATTATTTAAGGATTGTTTGCTGTAAACTATTGACTTGAGATATCCCCACAAGAAAAAGTCGCATGCATGGTGTGAGATCTGGTGACCGAGGCGGCTAGGGTATGTCCCTGTACTTGCTGATCATTTATTTGAAAAAAATAGTCCTCAGTGTCTCCATCGAGGTAATCTCCGTGTGTGGTGAGACACCTTCTTGCTGAAATAGAGTTACGTAGTTGACCGGGATGCAGTTGCAGTTGTGGTATCAGACATTCATCGATCATTCGACAATACATTTCAAATACTTATTGCTCAACTGCGAACGCTCTGTAGGCTCCCGACCAGTGACTCATGGCGTATTTCAAATCCGCATTAGACTCTATTTTGAAACAATTGAACTTAATGAAAACTCCTTGGTTTTATTTGTATTCAATTTTGAACTTGGAAAATTCTCGCTGGACACCCTTTACAACGTAACCTCACTTCACAACTTCAAAAGAGTGTGACAATACCGCGTTCGTTCAAGTCTGATATTGATAAACGTCACCATCTTATTCACGTATTTCTGATATTCGGTTTGGCCGAAGCTTCGGCTGGTTTTTGGCCGAAAACGAAAATATGGCCGAATGTCCATTTTTTGGCCGAAAATAGCCGAAAACGAAAACGAAAACGAATATTCGGTCGGTCACTAATCGAAATACATATCGCATACGAGTCTGCACAAATTGTATATAGATTTTATATACGATTTGTGTAACATTGTATTCGAATTGGAATTCTATTGTTTCAAAAATACGTTTCAAGTTAGATATACTTCACGGTCGGTTTCATAAAGTTGACTCTACTAACACTACAATACAGCATGATTTCATACAGTCAAAGGTAAATGCAATCAGCTCAAGTCTTTTAAAGTGTAGTCCATATTTGTAACTTAAATTGGAGCGACCGTACCATGAGCTCTTACAATGACGTCATAGGTCAAGCAAAAGTGGAGCAATTTAGAACAAACGCTGTAGTGACGTCATAGTAAGCAAAAATTGAGCAATTTAGAACAGTTGTTGCAGTTTGTTAATAGCTCTAAATTGAGCAGCTATTGCCCGAAAAATTGCCCGAGTATCCCTATAGCAAGATAATATAATTTCCAAGTGAGTTGCGAATATAGTTTCAGACCAAAACTCCATAGAGTAATAGAGATTTTCTAATAAATGGATTAGTAGTGACGTCTTTATAGAGTTCTAAGTTGGGAAATCTATCAAAATTGAGTATTTAGCTGTTTCCAGAGTTCATGGTACGGAAGCAAGTGTAGTAAGCACGTGATGCAATGAAATACAATCTAATTCAAAAGTCCACATATTTACTGTGAAAGTGGACCTTTAGAGTATCAAAGTACGAAATTATAAAACACTACTTTACATCGTAACGATAAGCTCCGATCAATTGCGTATAACGTTTTAGATTATTGCCAAATAGTGCAGTGGCATCCGAGATTTGGCACAAGATTGAATACTCAAAAAGCACAAAAACTAATCACCAAAGCAAATAATCATAGAACTAAGCGATACATTTTTCGATATTGTAATGAACACTCAAACACTTATAAAAATTAACAAAATAATCAACCGACACCAACTAACGGTTGGCAGTGTTTCTTTAAAAGACAATTGTAGGCACTATTATTGCTACTATAATATAATTTAATTCCCCATCGCTTATCTACAGCATAGTATTCTATACAAAATATACTACGACGATTTTACAATAGGCCGTCGGCCTACGAAACTATAGTTGTTCTAACGTAACATTTATACTACAGATTAGTTTACCAACATACCGTCCACATAACTGTCTTTCACTCACAATGATCTAACCTCGTTCAGTTGAAGTCGAGGTTGGATTCCCTGATGATTCATAACCACGATGGTCTCCCTTGGAGTAGGTCGGCGGCGTCGTGGCGGTCCATCTGTCGCAAGGCCGTGGCCAGGGAGGCGGTAGCTCCTGGGCCGCGCTCGCGACACTCCCATAGCTCGAGGATAGCTTCGGTCGGCGAGCTCTTAGTCGCAAACCACGTGGTATACCGATCCACGCCGAGCCGCGACGCCAGCGCGCGCCAGTCGTTGCCGCGAGCGTTCGGCGGATCCAATATTGCGCATAGCTGCCGTTTTATTCGAGCACTTAATTTAAATGGGCCTTCGCCTGCACACTCCGTGACTCCCGCCTCGCTCACCGTAACGCTCCTCTTAGCGTCGCCCCCCTCCTCGCTTCTGCACATACGAGCCTCCAAAAGATTCTCGGTTATGTTGAAACTACGCTGAGATTCGGCGCGGGGTGAACGCCCCCGCGGCGATCGACTCCGAACGTCCTCAAGGGATATTCGGAACGTCTGTTTGTACGACGGATTGGTCCTTTGACATGCGGAAATGCTAAAGTCAATATTGTCGCAATCGTGCGTCCGCTCGAGAACGAAGCTGCAATGAAGTGCGTTGTAGTTGGAACTCCAGACGTGATTGAAGGGAATCTCCTGGTAGCCGATGCCGGGCTTCGCCTTCCAGCCGGGGCTGACGTGTTCCAAATTTAAACACAGATTGGATCCGCCGTCTTGGAACAGCAGCGTTTTGGTGCGCTCGAGCAGAACTCCGCCTAATTTTTTCTCCTGCTCCTGACAGTAATAGGGCGCGCACGGAGTGTCTTCGAACACATAAAGCCTAATGCTGTACTCGGAGCTAGTTTCGTTGAGATTAGCAGGCGCGTATACGGCAAGTTGGAGCGCCTTAACGGCTTTCCCGTTGAAACTTTCGCCAACTAAGACAAAAGTCGACAGCATGTCTGTGACGAGATAAATTTTATCGTTATCGAGTTGCGTGAACACTGGCGTGTTGATAGTCTCCTGGCCGAGGCTGACGACTTTCTTCCATTGTGGCTGCGTGTTATCGGTTTTTGCGTTATTGTGATCTATCGCGTACAGAGTGAGGTTCCAGAACCCATGTTTGAGGCTAGCGCAGTGTGGTATTTGTAGTATTACTGACTTATTTAATTGGAGGCGTGGAGGTCCGCATTTAACTACCGGGCTGAGTTGCGTGATACCTGAGGGCGAAAATAAAGCGGTTTAGTTGAATGCGATGTGTTGCGACTCGTGCCCAAAGCGGTTTGGCTTTTTTACTTGACGTAATTATAGTTCTTTGATTCCCGGCGTATTTAAATTGGCTTTAAAAATAGGTTGTGATAATCGCAAAAACTGCGGCTTTGAAAGGTCGTTTGCTTGTTTTTTGTGAGCCTTAGGGGTGATGGTGGTGTAATTTCAATAATTTGCTTACCTTTGCCGAGTCTAGGCCGGTATCTGTCATCTTTGACGACGGCGACGTACATCTGTTCCCGTCTGCCCCTGCTGAGGGCGGCTTCAGGGATGGAAAGAGCTACGCCAGCTGCTGGTAGGGCGAGTCTTGCACCAGCGGAGGCGACTGATAGGGACTGGGAGGTTGGGGAGTTGGAGACCAGCTCTGCGAGTTGAAGAGTCACCGATTCGTTGGCTGCATCGTACATGGAGCCGGCTGCAACAAAGACTGTTGTTATACTTCTTGTATAACGAGCAGATATCGTTGAATATCTACAGGTGATAAGTAGTTGTTTGTGTACACACAGTGATGTTGTCTTTAATTTTTTAAAATAAAAAAATGCGTGATGTAAAACGCAAATAAAAATGCATTAATTATTCAATTCCACAAACGATAAAATCATTATTAAACATAAACGCGTTCAAACATATTTCATTACCAGATGTAACTGTCGCCCGTTTAAAAAGCAGGTGTACACTACAACCCGTAGTCCGAACAGATGTCTATCTAATTCACCAAAGTGGCGAGCTTGTTCATTATTTTGAAACATAATATAAATTGGAAACGGTACTTCGAGTAACCGGAATAAGTACGGCTTGTTTTACTTTGTAACAAGGACGTTGAAAAATGTAGGCAGTTAATTGATTCAGAGAATCGATCTGACGCTAATATTCAAATTGGCTATAATAAAATCAAAAGTAATTGATGTGGATAATACAGATTGAGATTAGTTAAGCGAATTTTTTTTAACTCAATGTAGGTATGGATTAATGTTATGTTAATGAAAAGAGAGCGATAGGTTTTTTATTTATTTTTTTACTCTCAAATGATAGACCAGCGGGGTCAGGAAATCATTGCATGTTGGATAGGTATTCCCCACTGTATAGCACCGACTCGTTGGGTGGCAAAGAAATTCCCTGTTAGATGAATGCTTACTGGATAGTAGTAATACTTCACTGAATAGCAATGTCCTATTGGATAGCAACGTCGTACTGGACAGCAATGTCCCACTGATAACAACGTCCTCGAATAGGGGACAAAGCCCCTCTAAATAGCAATGGCCCGCTGAATGATCAAATAATATTTTGTAACAAAACCAGACGCAAATCAAGCTCATTAATAAATACAATCCTAGTACGCCGTCTAACTGTAATTTCAAACCTAGATATTTATGAGCAATAACTTAATGAACATAAAACAGTCATTTGAGAATTAGAAACAACGGGAACCCGACTTGGATTAGTTAATAACGGAATGAAAGTGCCATTCTAGCAGATAAGATCTAAATTATGAACTGAGCAGGACTATTTTGTAGCTAAACCATTTGACTTTCACAAACTATTGTTATAGAACCGCTAATTTGCCTCTTGAGGGATATTACTTCCATTGCGAAATTAGGAAATTAAGTGACAATGTTAAAAGATAGTGGTATGAGTTTCATTCAACCTATTATTTGGGAGTTACAACTTTTTCACTTCCAAACCACTGCATAAATAATGAATTTTGTCTTTGGCCTATCTCTCGTTCAGTTCACTGTTGGAATTATAAACTAAATACTTTATGTAATAAAGTATTTCCACAACCACAATGACCGGTCTCAACCTACCTAGATAAAAGTTACCTTATGACACAAATAAATTAAGGAGGTTAAAACGGTGATAATTTTAACAGTAAACCATTATTTCCCAAGTTGTCGGTGGCTGTTGGGGCAGAAAATTTCTCGAGTGGCTACCACGGGCCGGAAGACGTAGTGTGGGCAGGCCCCCACTAGGTGAACCGACGATCTGTTGAAGGTCGCGGGAAGAACCTGGATGCGGGCAGCGAAGGACCGGTAGTTATGAAAATTCTTGGGGGAGCCCTTTGTCTAGCAGTCGACTGGCTAAAACAAAAGAACGATTTCTCATCTCAAGTCAAAATGCAACAGGTTTATAGTAATACTCACAGCTAGTGAAACAGCTGGACGCAGAATGTTCGGACTCGCTGTACGGCTTGCTGTCATAGTCGTCGCTCTGACCTTTGCTCGATGCGCATGGAGTCACTTGGTGGTCTACAGGCGACGCGTAGCTGTGGGAAAAGAAGCTATATTAGTTATGGGACTAATGTTTATAACGAAGAAGTATTTACTTTAATTAATGTTTTTTCTTCAGAAAGACCAGAATAATGGCCATTTTAAGATGAATAGAATAGAATAGAATTTCTTTATTGCGGTAAATGTGGTACAAAATAGTGATAAACAATGAATGAAAACATTCATATTAACATAATTAGTGTAGGAAATTTAACGCTGCAACTCCTGTGTAGCCATGTCGCTTGACCACCAATAAAAACCCAACCAGTAAAGGTCCTACCTGCCTTGGCTAGCATAAAAAAAAAAAAAAAAAAAGGTCAAGTTTGTCCCGAGGGAAAGTTAAATTGTCATTGGACCCACAACAATATTAATCAGAAGAACATAGGACGAGTTTGAAGTTAAGTTTCGACTTCCCTTGGTCAGTGTGGAAGTTCATACAAACCTGTTGGTCAGATGGGGCACGTCATAGTGGTGTTCGGCGCGCGTGTCTGGCGGCGGGTGCTCATAGCGTGGTGGCCGGTGCTGCATCAGGTCCGGAGCCAAAGAGAGGGACTGCTTCTCCACCGTGGGGTACATTTCTGGTTGGAAATCTGTGGAATTGACGGGGTTTTAAGATTTGCTTACGAGTGCGTAGGTTAATCACATTGTCGAACGCTTATTTACCCTGGCATTTGAACATTAAAAGTACCTACAACAACTTAGATTCAATCAGACTACAGCACCGCCTCAAGCTAGAGAACTTATGCGGTTGTAATAGAAGCGATTTATAGAGTCTGATGTGCATTTTTGTACAAATATGGACATACTTGTATATTATTCTGAAGGAGTGGTTCGACATTATGGAACCCCACGTGAATAAGTGGCAAGAATAAAAAACGATCGTAAGATAGGTAATAAATAAATGCTCGTTAATATAAACTCAAACTCTGCTTCAATAATGATCGCATAAGTACCTACCTACTGCAAAAGACAATCAATTTTGTCGCGTTATTTGAAACTTTTTTTTACAGAAGAATAGACCTATACTACACCGGTCTATCACTTACCGGTCCTCGTCATGGTATACAAGGAGTGGTCCCTGGTCTTCCTCTGAAGCAGCTTGTACACCACCGCGGCACCAGCCAGGAACACCACCACGGCCACTGCTATGCCGATGTACAGCGGTACGTCGCTGTGGGCGGCCACTGTTGAAGAAAACATCGTATTTAGAATTTTGTTTGTCTTTTTAGTTTTTGATTTCTGCCTTTCCGAACTTCCGAGCAAGAGAGAGAGAGCGCTTCCTAGCTGATTCTGCTATTCCAAGTTTTTGCAATTCTTTTGATTCTCATTATGAAATTGTGTGGGGCACAATCAAGAATATCTACCTACAAGTCATTGATCAAATAGAGTAATGAAAGTAAAACATTTTCTTCGCATTTTAACAAAAACTAAACACACTTAGCAAGATAAAAAGCTTTGCATTGCACACCAAAAAACTGGTAAAAAAGCACAAAGACTGCGTTTGATTTTAAATTTATAAACTCTTGACTTCAAAATGTAAAATGAATGGCAATGATCTTGCGCGCATGTTTTTGATCAGCGGATATCCCAAAAATATCAACTCATAACTGACTCAGCTCAGAGCACGTGAAAGTTATCATTTCGGCTCGAACTTAATTAAAGTCAAGTGTACCTACTGTCAAACTGACATCACAAAACATAAATATTTTCAACACATGCACATAAAAAGAGCACCCGAGTTTAACAGTGTTTTTTCCTAAGAAAAAGAAAAAGATTCTCGTTAAAAATGCGCCGCAAATACAATCGTAAACTTTGGGACGCGATGACATAAATAATATTAAAGTAACATGCCACGGGGTAGTGCTGTGGACGTGTCGATAGCTTAGCGATCGATGTTGACTTAGTTACTGTAAAAATTGTGGCACCTATTATTTAACTTTTAATGCCGTTAGCATTGCTGATACAACATAATATTATGTTACACGCGATATTTTTTACTTTACATTTTAGAATTTATTTAACTACCTAATGGAAATGGAATTAAAATATTGAGCTGCAGTTTGTAGCTTTATTTTATCGTTATTAAGTATGTAGCTACTGAATTTACTACACGAACACATTTTTAGGTATTGCCTGTAAATTAAAATGAAATATTTATTCGTATGGAAATAGAGTCGACGTTACTTTATTATACCAGCAGCTTCATAATTATTTACTATAGTTTATATCACAATGACAATAAAAACACGTTTTAATTTCCGACATTTCGTACAACACTACCTGTCAGAAAGTACACAAAAAACGCTTAAGTTTCTCCGAGTGAGAAACATCAGTTTGAACCTTACTGCCTAGGAAATAGGCAACCGCTAGTTATGATGTATTCAGCATTTTTTATAGGGAAACTCGTAAAGTGTAGAGAGCTTATCACATACAGGTGTAGTTCATAAATTTTGTTTGCTTTATAGTTTTTGTGCCCCCGCTGAGATCGACTGTCGGTGTTTTGACTGACGAGGTTGCAAACCTAGTTTCGTTATGTTGGTATACTTTAGTAAAGAATATACGCCCGTATTCACAAACAATACTATAAGGTCTCACAGTGCGCGTGGACGTACAGAGACACACGAACCAATCACAGATCTCTATTCAAAGCTGTGCGTTCGATTTGCTGCTTCACTTAAGCAAGCATCGTTTGTGAATACGGGCGATAGCATCTATGAGAAGTGCCCCTACTCTCTTTAGAGAATGGGCGTTTGACCTCAATCTTAACCAGAATTTTACTCCACCTCATAACTAGTAAACATTTTAATATTTCGACTTCCCTCCAGTGCAAATCCGTTTGCGAATCCGAAGTCGAACCTTAACTTCGAACTCCTTTATGTTTTTTTTTATTAATTTCGTTGAGGGTCCATTAACAGTTTAACTTTCCCAGGGACAAAATTCACCTTCACTGGTTGGGTTTTGCGGTCAAGCTGTAGATCCTGGCTACAAAGGAGTTGCAGCGGAGGGAACGAGAGGTGAAAATAGTCCCGTATCTTAATATTTTATGATAATTAGATTTAAAATCTGATACATAACTGTTTTCGCTGTTCTCAAACTTTCATCCATATCGGATTCAGAACGTTAATGAAATGTACACCGACCACAAACGAAATAATAAACTTGAACAAGACAGTTATGGTTCGCCGAGCACAGTAAACGATCGTTTCCAGATAATGTTATGGGTTGGATATTAAATAATTGGTCGATATTACACATCTTTAGCATGTAAAAATATTCGATCTTCGATACAATACTTAAGTGATTTATTTCAATTTGTTCATTTCTTTCTGCTTTTTTTATGTTACCTTTAGAACCAAACACGTACTAACTATCCAACATGACTCCATGGTCGACATACGCCCTGTCTGTACCAAATACTTTATCATACTTCAGACAACCTTAAGCCAAGATCTCATGGTACAAGGAATAGGCATCTGCTTTGCAACCAAACTTTTTTCATCATAGATCACACCTGCACCTTTTTATTGATACTTTGGGTTTTGCAATACTTTCTAAAAATTAAACCTCTTACTCATTTACTTTTATATATCATAAGCAATTTGTACTTCCTTGTTAATGCCAGTTCTTTTGGAGAAACTTAGGATAAAACTCAAAACAAGTTTTGCAATAAAGATTATCTTATCAACTTCCGTGCTTAAAATTCAATCATTTAAACACCCTGAATACCAAATTGACCATTTCTTTCTCGATTTTCCAGATCCAAAATCGATAACTATGCTTATTGGGACAGTTTACCGAGTTATCGATTCGAAATCTCACCTTTTAATTAACTAAGAGTCAATCGAGATGTAAATATCGATTCTTGCCTCGATCGTGTGCGTTTCGATGAAGTCATCGGCTCATTTGAATGGATAACTCGGTATCGATTACCATCGCCAATGTTTTACGCACAATTAAAATGGAAAGGAGTGCGAGAGTTATTCTGCTTGGGTCCATTGATTGGGTTCGGTTTAATTCATGAAATTACGAAATTGGTGCCAGCAACGATGACTTCAGCTTAAATATTAGTCCAGTTTGTAAGTGAAGGATTCTTGATCGATCAATAGGCTTTGAAATAAATGCTGAATTGTAACAAAAAGTCTTTTTTTTTGCAGGGAAAAACAGAGACCGTGAGCGTAATATAAGACTGAGGGTAAAAAATGGGTGCTTTAACTAAACATTGAAGATATTTTTATGGTAGGTATATTTAAACCTTAAAGTCAAAGTCAAAGTCAAAATTTCTTTATTTGTTTAGACTAATAAATAGTTCTTACAAATCGTCATTTTGCTCTTAAGGAGCCTCTACATGTCTCATAATCTTTTTACCCTACCAGCGCTTCGAGACCAACATTTGGCAAGTGCTGAGAAGAAGCGCCGCAACAAACTCAGTCACCACTGTCTGCCGGTTAATATAAATAAATATAAATAGTAGTAGTAGGTACATTCGATTCAGGAGCAGTTCACTGAATTTACCATGCATTCTTGTATGGTGTATCTTATAAGAATGGGTATACAAGATTGCGTGGTATATTAAACAAGGTAGTGACGTGCTAATATCTAGACTTACATATTAAGATACTAGTAGAAATGACTCGCATACATAAATTTGAATAACTTGGATTGACCAGTCCCCGAAAGCAGCGCCTGTTCACAGACATGACGAGTGAACCAGCCATCGCTTCACTCGACCATATTAGAGGGAATGTAACGACCCGCCTCACTACGCCTTGATTAAATAACAATGATCAACGATAATAATTATCCTTAAAAGTTATTTTCCTAATTGTGTCTATTGTACACCTTTGAACCATCATGTCACGCCGCCGCGTCGGTCGAAAGTTAGCGGAGAGTCCTTTCAATAGCACATTAACATAATTTTAGACCGCAGCGGAGCAAACCCTCCAAACACGGTGGCGCAAAATAACTTTGTTGCACCTTCCTTTACTTTGATTGCTTTTTAATTTGAATTCCAGTTGTTGACGTTGACGAAGTGACATTATAGTGAGTGTGGGTGGATGATGACAGGTTGTTATTTAACTAAATAATGTTAATTACATTAATAATGAAATCTCTTTAAAGATATAATCATCGACAAATTGACACAAACAGTAAATTACGAGTATATTTCAACTGAAAATAAATAAACGATCATAATTACGAAAATATGTTCTCGTATAATATACTCAACATCAAATAAACCGCACCTTCCGCGACGCGAACTTTAACGATTTTCTTCTGACACAATCATGGTGCCCCAACAATATTGGTGTTATTTGAAAGCCCAATAAATATCCTTAAAGAAAAACACATTTAATTTCTTAATAAATGATTAACATATACCATAAATGTGACTTGAAAAAATACCTCACTTTGGGCCCACCTATGGGATCAATTAGACCAATTTTTATGGTTATAAAACCAAATAATGATCTCACGTGTCCTCTTTAACAGATGGATAGCGATTAATCCCAACTTAACAGTTTTATAGCCATAAAAGTTGGCTCTAGCGTAACTACCTATTTTTTTAAGAAGTGACTCTGGAGCCTTCTAAAGACACATTTTTGGGGTAAAAACCTTTCCATAATGAAATGAAGGTTAGAACTAGGCTTTCAAATGGTGCCAATATTGGTGGGAAGTGGGGAAGCATACGTTTGAAAATGCTTGTCGCGGGAGGTGCGATTTATTTGATGTCGAGTGTATAACAATGACAGGTACTACTTCCTTTTTGTTTCCCCATAGTCGGATAAAACAGCTCCAACATTATGAAAAACCCCTAATATGTATGGTGAAGTTTTATTTGCATGCTAAACGGTTGTATGTTATGCGCATATTACTTGAAGATAAGATATCTCCATATAAAAACGGATTACCCATATTATGACCGAGGCGATGAATAAATTTATAATTTGCATGCTTGAGTAGCAAAATATAAGACTACAAGCGCATCTGATTTTGTAAAAGAAATCAGTTATTCAAAAAGGCACAAATGCAAAGTTTTCAAAGCTTATAATCAATACATGATAAGCATTTTATTATTTACATTCATAAGCAGACAAGGCTGAATTTGTTACATTCAACATAATAAAAGAAGATGATTTTACAAATAATATACATCCTGGTTTTCCAATAAATATTTCAAAATTAC